CCCCCACCTCAGAGCAGAGTGATGAGTCAGAACACCCCAAGCTGACCCAAGTGGGGCACCAGAGCTGCTTGTCTTGCAAGTCCAGGGGTCTCTCAAGTACATCTGGGGCTTGAAATGAGTCCCAGAATTCCACAGCAAGTTCTGATTTTTCAATCCCATCGAGGGGGATCCCCAACAAACACACCTCACGTATAAGACACGTGTTTTTCAGCCAAGACTCAAAGGGCATCTCCAGGTCTCCCAGTAAATTGGTTCCCTTTGCACACCAGAACAAGTGGGACTGGGTTTGTAAGGAGGTGTGTTCATACAGTTCAAAGGCTTTAAAACAGGGTTCTCTCTGGGCCACATCCACATCGAGTTGGAAGAATTCCTAGGCAACGTTCCTGCCCCACTGGGTAATTCTACACACCATGAAAAATTAACTTTTGGTGTACAAAGTCCTCATACAAAATATAAAAGTGTTCATATAAGCACATCTTTACATCGGGCCTATACTCCATTCTCAGGGGACAGAGCACAGGGGAGAGCTCTGCTGTGATTTAGTCCTGACACAAAACAAAAAGCTGTGGCTTTACTGTTGGGGTCATAAATGAAATTAATTCCCTTTCAAATTTAACTGTATTATCCCCAGGTGCTTTTCCTTTTTTATTTTTTTAATTTTAGTGGGCAAATTCCCCTCATCACATTCCTTTACAATTGCTGCTACAGTAAATTGCACCCAAAGTTTAGAAGCATGTGGGGTGCACAGTGGACTAGAGTTACCATATTGATTAGCAAAAATGAAAGAAGAGATGCAAAGTAAAAAACCTGCTTAGGACACAGGGTAGGAAACCCAACAGTACATCAGACACGTTCAAGTGAGAACACAAGTGTTTCCAAAACTGGTTACAGGTCTTGAGAGCTGGTAAAAGACCTTCCTGTATTTTATCCATGTCCCCTTTGCAGTCCGTGGCCGTCCCTCCTTCTGGTTTAGGAAGGGGGACTCAACCATTTCCCATGTAATGTTTTCTTTTGTTTTGTTAAGATTATTTAGTTCACTCATTAACATCTCTGAAAAATTTAGCCAAATCATAATAAATCTAAATCCTTCTGAAGCAGAATGGGAAGGTTAATACACATTTATATGATTCCAAATAGGCATAAATTCTTGTACCATCTCCCAGGCTAAATTTGATTGAGTTTTCTGAGACAAACTTATACGTCCATAAGATAAAAGCTTTCCCCACCCCATTCTTTTTAGTAAAAAGACAAAATGAACTTAGCAAAAATCAAACTGGCAATACATAGAATGGTTTGTCTTATATAATCCTCCTAATATTTTTAGTTCTCAACAAGTTGCTTGCCATGGAAACACAAACAAATCACAAACATCAATAAACTGACAGCACAAGCAATTATGGGGCAGTTAAAAGTTCCATCGGTTTCAGGCAGCTGGGTCTCACCTGTCAGCAGGTTCCTAGGAAAAGAAAAGGGAAAATTTGGCCTAATACAGACCAATCCTGAAAAAGAAGAAAGAATGTCTTGTCTGGCAGGATGCTACTCAAGCAGCAAGTAACCAAGGTTCAAAGGGCCTAAGGGAAAAATGATTATCCCATCTTGGCTGGCTGTGAGCCTTCTCGGGGAAATCCGCTGGCAGCTGCCCTGCTTGCAACTCCTTCCTCTCATCTTCAGTGGGGGGAGTGCTGGCTTTCCTGGAAAGAGAAAACAACACAAACTTCCCCTATTTTTCAGGGAGGTCTGCTCTGGTTGGCAGAGCAGCTGTTAAAGGCCAAGCATTGGTATTCAACTGTCTGTAATAAACTGCCCAGGCAGGAGAATTAGAAGGGAAGGCTGAGACCACTCCTCCAGGGCTGAAGCACGGGTGTGCTGCTACTGTGGCTCCTGGGTTTGCAGCATTTAATGCTGCAGCTGTCAGTGGAGCCAAATTAGCTGTAACTTCAGAAATTCTGTTTGGTGTTGCAGCAAACCCCAGCACTGTGAGAGCACAGTCCCTGCGTTTCCTTTAGGGTTAAGATTACCAGATTTCCACTTTTCAACCGGGAGCCATAAAGTAACCTCAGCAGTTTGGCAGATCCCACTTGCTCTGTTTACTGCAGTGATTTTAACTCTTTGCTACCCGGGAAGCACACCTGGCCCCTCAGCATCCCACTGCTTTAATACTGACCAGATTTCAATCTCACCTCATTTATGGTCAGACCTTCACATCTCGTAGCCGTACCTGGCACCATTTTAGGAGCAGTTTGCTGACCCTGACAGTCGTTTGTGGTTTCAGTTTTAATTAAGGGTCGTAATGTTACTTCCTCGTCATCAGCTGTCAATGCAAACGTTAGGTTTTGCTCTTTATCAGAATAACACTCATTCACCATCTCCCAAACTCCTCCACTGAACACAGAAGGTCTGAGGCACAGGTTCTACATCCTGCAATTCTTCCCTCGGATTCTCTCTCATGTGCATTCCAAAGCTCTGGGGGAAGCTTTCCAACACGGTGCTCACCAGCAGCAGCCCCTCTACCTGCATCTCTTTTTCCTTCTCCTCATTTAACTGAAAGTACAATTCCTTCACCAGATCTTCTAAAGAACGTATTATTTCATGTTCAGATTTCTGAGTGACCAATCACTCATTATCCCAATTTACTCGTGTGTGGTGGTTTGAATCTTGTTTTCCCCCAGTGGCTAAGAAAGTGGTAGAACCCCAAGGGGTGGAAACCCCTGGAAGTTTTGAAGTTCTGCCCAATGGGCGCTCCTGCAAAAATGTCAACATTCCACAAGCACCGGAAGAGACAAATTGTAGTTTGGTTGTTGAGGAGAGGTGGCCATGTTGTAGAGCCACGAGGAAGGGGCTCTGAGCCCCTCGGGGCCTCTGGGCCCTCCCAGCCCCGGGCTGGGGGAGACTGCAGAGACTCGGAACAGTGTTAGACTGGGCTAAGTGTTTGTGGTTAAGCTGGGAGATGTTTCTCTCCACCCTGGGCAGTGGAGACAGAGCAGAAAGCAGAGACACAGTGTCCAGAGACTGGCAGAGAGCCAGGACAGATAAGACCTGAACCGGAGGAGCAGCAGGAACAACCTGCAGCACCGCAGAGAAGACTCCTGGAAGGAGAGCCGAGGAAAAGAGAGCCAGCAGCTGAGAGACAGAGTTCTGGGGGTGAGAACTGATACCAGACCCCCTCCCCCCAAAACTCCTTTGATCCCTCTGAGAAAAAGAGGGAGATGGACTCCTATTTTGGAGAAGAGTTTTGGACATGCAGCACTGGAGAGAGAGAGGAGCTGAGAAGCTCAAAAGACGTCCCAGAGCTGGACCAGGACAGCCAGATGGAATGCGGGGGGGGGGGTTGACCTTGGTCCCCCCGCTGCTGCTGACAAACCTGGCAGCCTGAGACAGAGCACAGGAGCTCTGGCAGAACTCTTGAGGCAAAGGCTTGCAACTGAATGCTGCCCAAGATGTTCTGACTCAGGGGTGAATCCCCTGAGGAAGGGACTTTCACGAAGATGCCCCTGCATTTCGTGACATACCTGTGGTGACGCGAGTCTTGTCCCTGCTGGCAGCCCACAGGTGAGGCCTTCGCTTGGACCGAAGGGGAGCCAAGGGGCTTGGAGACCCCCTTGTGTGTATGGAAAAGAGATCCAGCTACAACAACCCAGTTACTGCCGCATGGAAGAGAGATGAGGAAAACCTGCTGCCTTAGAAGATGCTTCTGCTTTGAGACTGGAAGGGATCTGTCCTTCTTTCCCTCCTGGACTTTTATTTGGAGGGGAGAAGAGATCTGATCCATTGTAAATACTATATGTCATGGTAGAGATAGTTGTGATCGTGTGTATAATGTGTTATAATATTTATTTGTACAGTCATTGTAATATATTCTCTTTCCCCTACTCTGAGTCTGGTGTGTTTTGTCTGGAAAGCCCATCCCACATTAGGTTGAGATGGGGAAGGGGGCTAGGACTAGGGAATTAGGATTTTGGGGCTATCTCAAACCATGACATCGTGCCAGCTCCACCCCAGGGTGGACCCTCTGGGTCTGGAGGGTTCCCGCTCTGCCCGGTGGGGACACATCAGCTCCACGGTTCAGGTGGGGGCGGGTCCCCAGAGGGGACCTTGGCCAGGGCTCAGCACCAGGCTCGGAACTGGTGCGGACCAGGGGAATCCGACTGTTTAACTAAAGCCAAGCATCGCCAAGGCCCACGGCGGGGGCTGACGCGCTGGGATTTCTGCCCAGAGCTCTCAATGGCAAAGGGAAGAAATTCAGTGAAGTGCAGGTAAACGGTGGGAGTAACTATCACTCTCCTAAGGTGGGAGCAGAGTTACTGACTGGGCTCAGCCCCAGTGGTCGCACCTCCTCGTGGTCCCGCTGGATGCCCTTCACAGGTAACTAAGTCGGCCTCTGCCCCAGTTCGGAGGAGGGGTTAAAGCCTCTCTCTTCCCATCGTCTGGAGTCACTGCCCAGCGAGAGTAATCAAACGAATCAATACAAATTTTTGGTAATCACTTACAGAAGTTATTTACTCAGAACCTTGCCCACTGGTTGGAAAATTGGAAGAGTTGGGCTAAAGTTGGAAAATGGAAACCAAGCAGAGCAAAGCCTGCAAAAGATGGACCAATGACGAGATGACATGAGACTGAGGGGGAGGTGGTTGCAAAGGGTATAAAAGATGGGGGTTTGACTCTGTTCTTTGCGGACCGCGGCAGGAACAAGGGTTTCCTCCGGTCGCCCGGTGCTCCGTTTTGCTTATTTGCCTTTAATAAATTCTTTTATATTTTCAAATTTAAAATTCTCGAGTCTAATGACTACAACAATTGGTGCCGTGACTCGGATCGAGACCTCCTGGGCGGTAGGATCATCTCTCCAGGGGGGCACCCCCGTCCCTGCTTGGACGGTCCTGGAGGGACTCCTGCAGCACAGAGTCTTGATATCCGACCGAGAATTAGAAAGAGGCAAATAAGCAAATAAAACACTACAGTTCCCTGCAATCTTGGTGCACAAGCCCGGGCGAAGACTCACTCAGGAAAGAAGTGAGCAGAAAACACCTTCGGGTGAAAGGGGTCTGTTCTGCCAGGTGAGCGAACGGGACTTACTCCGGGAGAGAGTAAGTGCCTTACTCCGGGCGAGAGTAAGGGTTGCGGGTGCCATCCGGTCGGGGAAGGGACCGTCCAGTGAGGAGCTGGACGAAGACTTGCCCTGGTGAGGTAAGTATTTGTGATCCCCCTCTTTCGGTTGGGAGGGGGCCCTGGAGTGTGACTGATTGAGACGTCCGGCAGGACGAGGCAGTTTGTAGCAGGAGCATGGGAAGATATTAAAAAGAAATTGGAGGATAGTGAAGATTGGCAACATAAGGGAATGGATGAATTGTTGAGGGCAGCACAAAAGGTGTATGTACGAAGGGACGAGGAGAAGGAGCCGTGTGAGAGCACCGAGTGCCAGGAGGAGCAGTCGCAGCCAGGAAACATCAAGGACATCCTGCACACAAAAAAATAATTTCGATATATTTTAAATTAAAATATTTCTGGTCTATTGACTATAACACCCCCGATTTCCCTCAGAGTCCGGGGCCATTTCCCCTGAATGATCAATAAATCCCTGGGGGGTCTTGGTAGAGCCTGTCTGCTCCAGGAGGGCTGGAGGCACTGCTCTGGCCTATCCTGCCCTGGGCCTTGGGTGGCCTTGACCTTTCTGCTTCCCCTTACAGCCTCCAGTGATGAGCCCGAGCTGGATGGTCCCAACCTGTCCAGACAGTTGAGATTGGAGCCTTCCTATGAACCCGAGACCATCAGCCCCAGCACTGGTAACCACATGCCATCAGGGATGATTCCTGGCTGTCCAGCACCAGAGACCAGCAACCCCAGCTCTGATCAACAGGCAACATGGGAGCAGTCTCTGGAATCTCCCTCACAGGAGACGAGCAGCACCAGCACCGAGAGCCAGGTGAAATCAGACTCATCCAACAGCAGCTCCTCAGAACCTGAGGACAGCACCTGCTCCAGCAGTCCTGTGCCTGACCTGACACAAAACCGCTTGCGCCAGCAACGTCGCGCCCCAGATTCACATGGGTGGCGCAGAACTCTGTGTGACAGGACCCATGTGCCATCAGCAAGTGCTACAAGGTGCAGGCCCAGGCAGAGACAATCAGGGACAGCCCGCAGGCGAAACCGCTCCTGCCTGCAAAGTCAGACCCCAAATCCATCCATCCGGTCCAGAAGTCACCGTGATAGGAACTGCTTAATAGCACCAAGTGCTGGGAGGTGCACCCCCAGCCAGGAAGCATCAGAGCCATCCCGCGGGCAAAACCGCTCCAGCCTGCAATGTCAGACCCCAGATCCATCCAGCCGGTCCAGAAGTCCCCGTGGCAGGAACTGTGCGCCAGCACCGAGTGCTGGGAGGCGAAAGCCAACGGGGAGAGCAGCCAGGACTTCCCAAAGGCAGCACCACTCCCGCCAGCAGCGTCGGACCCCAAATCCACAGAGCCCGTCCAGAAGTCCCCATTGCAGGACACATGTACCAGCACCAAGTTCTGGGAGGCCCAGGCCTTCCCGCAGGCGAAACCACTCTCGCCTGCAAAGTCAGCCCCCAAATCCATCTGGCCAGTACAGAAGTCCCCATGACAGGAGCGTGTGAGAGCACCGACAGGAGCCGTGTGAGAGCACTGAGTGCCAGGAGGAGCAGCCGCAGCCAGGAAACAGAGGACATCCCGCACACAAAATCGCTCCCGCCAACAATATCAGACCCCGAATCCATCCGGACGGTCCAGAAGTCACCGTGACAGGAGCCACGTGAGATCACCAAGGGCTGGGAGGTGCAACAGCGGCCAGGAAGCATCGAGGACATCCCAAAGGTGAAACTAGTCCCGCCAGCAACGTCGGACCCCAAATTAATGCAGCCAATCTAGAAGTTGCCGTGACAGGAGCCGTGTGGCACCCCCAAGTGATGGGAGATGCACCCCCAGCCAGGAAGCATCAAGAACATCACACACGTGAAACTGGTTCTGTCAGCAACATATCATATCCCTCTATCAAATCCCTTCAATTTCCCCTAATTGTATTCTTCAATCCCCTTCCACGTGCTCTCACATGCACTACAGCAATTCTTTTTGGTTTTCTTAAGGCTTTTAAGGTTTCTTTAATTAAGGTTTCATGGACTAGTTCTTTTCCTTGGCTATTAATTAATCCTCTTTCTTCTCAAATTTTTCCAAATGTATGTACTACTCCAAAAGCATATTTAGAGTCTGTAAATATTGTTTCCACCTTTCCCTTTAATTGTTCTAAGGCCCTTACCAATGCATACAATTCACAGGCTTGAGCTGACCATGTCTTATCTAAAGGTCCAGCCTCCCTGATTCCAAATGTGACACCATCCACTACAGCATATCCTGACTTCCTATGTCCATTAACTACTCTGGATGAGCCATCTATGTATAATTTCTCACCTTCCTCTAATTCTTCCTCTTCTAAGTCCTGTTGCAATCTGCTTAAATATTCTGGTAAGAACAGACTCCTTTTTCCTCATGCATTTTCCTTCTAAAATCCCTTTTCTACATCTGGCCAGCGTCAGGTGTGAAAGCAGAACGTGGCATATTTGTGGGGAAAGTTATTGAACACGGTCACCCCCTTGATAAAAAATCCGCAAAGGCACTCGCCAAGTGGCTGGACCACAAGAGTCACGTACCTGCAGAAAACACCTCTGTGGACCAGTGGCAGTCGATAGGTTATGATCTCTGGCAAGCTAACGATAGAGGGGACTGAACAGCTAAGGAAGCACTGACTGCCTGGAGACTAGTTCTGATGGTGCTACAGCACCAGATGATGAGCTCCAACAGCGGTCTCCATGAAAAATCCACTAAACACGAGAAACCACGTATGAGACTCTCATCCACTAAAACGACTATCACCTCGGCACACAAATTTCATCAGTCACAAGATGGTGGGAGGGAGAATGAAGCTGCATCACGGCACCAACAAAATGGCATCGGGAAGGAGGGAGGCGAGGAGCGAGGAGCGAAGGCGGGAAAAGTTGCTGTGGGAAACGCCAGTGCGGGAAAGAAGGGGGCGGGTTCCCTCAGCACCACCCCCTAGGCCACCTCTGCCTCCACCTGCGCGTGTCAGGGACTCCACCCCTGACACACCTACACCCACGGCCTCTCCCTCCAGCTCCACCTCCTCCCCAGAAAGTCCTCCCTCCCGGGACAGAAGGGAATTCAGGGGCGGGGCCAGGCCAAAGGTCAAGTCCAGCTTCCGCAAACACGGCCATGCCCATAGGGTCTGTTCCACCGAGGCCCACCCTACCTACCAGTTATCCGACACCCACTCAGACTGTTCCCAGCACTCCCCTGAGAGACAGGCAAACCATCCAAACATCTGGAAGTCTTTCAGGGAGGAGGCTGCTCAGGCCAATGACGAAGACTTCCTAAAGGCCTTTCCAACTTACTTAGAGGAGGGTAAAGCTTCAGAATGGAGGCCTATCTCTTACCCAATGCTGAAGGACATTAAAAAAGCTCTTGTTCAGTATGGGTTAGGAGCACCCTTCACGGTTGGCCTGCTGGAATCATTCCTTTTACCTTACAGACTCACACCTTATGATATTCGTGCAGTTATAAATGGGCTTTTTTCCACCGTGCAATCGTCCGTCTTTGAGACGGAGTGGAAGAAATTAATTACAACTTATGTTAACGAAAAGGTGGAAAGGAGAGGAATACCAGTGACACAGGCTGTAGACATGCTTTATGGTCAAGGACATTACTCAAGTAGGGACGATCAGTCTAGAATTGATCTGAAACATTTGGATATATCTAAAGAATTGGCATTGGAAGCAGTTAAGAGGGTAGCAGATGCATACGTCCAGACTCCCTCATTTACATTAATTAACCAAGGTCCAAAAGAGCCTTTTGTGGACTTCATTACTAGACTGAAAGAGGCCATTAGCCGACAAGTCCAACAAAAGAAAAGTCGAGACATCCCCTTTAACAAACTGGTAATCGAAAAAGCAAACGAGGATTGTCAAAAGGCTCTTAAAAGACCCCTCCCTGCTTGAGATGATTGAAGCCTGCAAGAACATTGGCTCCGGATCCCATAAAGCACGTCTATTAGCCGCCGCTCTCACCGGACCCCAGTCCTGTTTTAACTGCGGGAATAAAGGTCCCTTCAAAAAGCATTGTCCAGAGTCAGCAGCAGAACCAAATGCTCCAAAGACACTTTGCCGGAGGTGCGGGAAGGGCTGCCATTGGTCCTCCAGCTGTCGATCGTTAACTAATATCAATGGCGAGTTCCTTCCCCCGAGAAGATCCCGGGGACTGAAAACTCACCTTTAGTTCGCTGCCGGACCTCCGCCCGTGCTCTTGTGAGCACTCGGGAAACGGGGAGCAGAGCGCTCAGGGAGGGGCGACGACAAAAGCATCCCCTCAGCTGCGCTCCGTCCTGCGCCCGACACCGCGCCCAGTTACCCCGTAATACAGGAGCCCCCACCGGTCCCAGTCCCTATAAAGCAACAGTGCACCCCCTTGGACTGGATCATTTTAACAGCTGTCCATCCCTCAACCCATCTCAGTTCGTACGAGCAGTTGGCCAGGGTTAGGTCATCTGCAAACGTTCACCCAGAAGAGACATATTTAACAGTGTCCCATTTCTCGGCAGTGTCGAGAGGTGTCATGGTGGTTCCAACTCTCCTGACGGGTCTTGCTAATGATAACGTTGCCGTGTGTTTGTCTGTCATACTTCCGCCCGTACAGCTGGAAGATCGGTTCCCGGTCACTAAAATGATCTCCACTGATGCCCTGACTGGTGTGATGCCCAAGGACGAGGAGGAGAGGAGTGAGACTCTGAAGGAAGCCAACTGGGTGACCTCAGTGAAGTCTTCTCGACCTCTCCTAAAATGTTTTATTTATTTTCCAGAGCCAAGACATCCCCAGAAAATTAAGGTGGAAGGGCTTTTGGACACAGGGGCGGACGTAACCATTCTGGCAGCAAAGCACTGGCCGTCCGGTTAGCCGGCCCAGTCCACAGACACACGTGTAAGCAGGGTAGGA